TCTCTCTCTCTCTCTCTCTCTCAAACTGACTAGAGCATAATATAAGTCTTAAAAATTTAAGAGTATTAGGTTAAAATTAAAATTGTAACTAAAATTTTGAATTATAAATTATAAATTTAAAATGTTATAACTTTTTAAGTAAAAAAAATTTATTTTTCCAAAGTTAACTTGTTTACAATTTTCTTTTTCTTTAGTATTACAATTAAATTTTTCACTACAACGTCATTTTCTTAAAAAGTGAAATTATATATTGTGTGTGTGTAATTTTTTGAAGTCAATAGAATTAATACTATTGATTTTTTTTGGTAATACTTCGAAAGTAGTTCGGGTCATTTTAACCCAGAATAATCATCGTATGACTTCTAAAGAGTGATTACAAGGAGTTAAAGAGATATGCCAAACCGATTATGAATGCCGGCTTTAATGTTTCATTATAAAATTAGTGATTGTGTTTAGTCTTCTTTTATCGTTGATTGTTTCTTTCTGATATTTTGTACACTATAAATTTTATAAAAAATAATCCCATAGACGCTAATTTGTGCGATAAATAAAACTAGCGATCAACAATCTATTAATCTGTACTATACAGTACTAATTAATTGTAATATATAAAATAACATTGATATTAAGAACAATACGTAATACTTCTATCAATATTATTTTTTAATATTAGAGCAATAAAAAAGATATCGCATGACCACAAATAAGTTTCTTAGTTTTGCAGATGCTGTCGTTTGGCGGCATCCATTACGTTCTGTCATCTCCCTCATTATCGCGCTTTCTGCGAATAACGATACACGCTATGTCAGATCTCGTGACGCGTGACACCCTTCGAGTTTGCTCCGTCGTTCTCGAAATGCACGTTCATGGAATTAATGATTCTCCTTATGAGGTCCGTTATATAAAAGTTTGTTTTGCTAAACACGCAAGAATCTAAAGGACTAAAGGTCGTCTTTTAGATTATAACAGTGTATCTATTATTCTACTCTAGTACTTTCATGTTCGCGTGAAATTTGAGTTTTATGATAGAATGTATAAATAAAGAAAATGTTATATACAGAAAGAGTAACCAGAATTTAAATATCAAAACTTCGGGAGGGTACAAGGAATCGATAAACTCTGAGACGAAAATTCCTGTAGAAATATAACTCGTTTTTGCTTCGTTTTGGAGGAAATCGCAGAAAAGACAAAACGTATAGTTGCTTCGTTCTTGAATGTGAAGGAATAGTGTCTTGACCATCCCTGACCATTTCTTTGTGTGGAGAGTCCTAAGGCAGGAAGTTTATTCATTGTCAATCAACTTAAGAGAACAGTTGAGAAACCAAATCGAAGCTATACTAAATATTACCAGATCAGTGTTGGACTGCGACACGAGCTGTCCGTACTAATGGTAGCTTGCATTCTTGCAAGAGGCCAACATTTTAAACAATATCTACATATTAAGCAAGTGAATAAATACAACATAAATAAGTGATAAAAAAAAGTACAAAAACTAAGTACAAAAGGGAAACTACGTTTTCCCTTTTTTTGCGATTTTCTTCAAAACGAAGCAGAAACGACTTTCTCTACAAGACTTCTTTTTTTCTTAGTTTATTAATCTTCTACACGCTCCCCGAAGTTTCGACATTTAAATTCTAGACACCCTGTATAAAATAAATTTGCTATAATTGATAAACAGTCATATATAAATGTTTGATGCTATAAAATCCACAGACAAATTGTAGAATGTATAATATTCCCAATTGGTTTCTTCTAATTTCAATTTGCTGACAATGGTCACGCAGCTCTAACCGAAACTTTCTCACGATATAATAATATAACGCTAGAAATTTGCACGCGCGCTCGACACTCCCCTTTTTGTTATGTTTAGTAGGTGTCGTGTGAGTTAAGTTGCCATTTGCAATTTTAGCACTTCGAATCCGTCTAGGTCGTTCCGCCTCGTCAACATCGTAAAAGGGTCCCGAAAAGGACTGAATTTTTCTGAAAATCATCGATTCAGTCGAACCATATTCGCAGAGGATTTTTTAGATATTTTTAGTGATTCTTTTATGATCCTAACGAAAAATCTAATGGATGCACACGGATAGTTCCCCAAAGTTAAGAGGCCAGTTATACGGCACGGAAGAATTCCTCGAGGCAAATGATAAACTGCTGCGGAACCGTGTAAGCGGCATCTGCCGAATGTAATTGGTTTTATGACATATTTTACGTGGAAAAAAAATAGTCGACGGCATGAAGGACCTTTCGCAGATGCAGAAACTGAACTGTGCCAATGGTATCCGCTTCATGATTTAATTTCATATTTATAAAAGTTATCATTTATCTATATCTTATTTTACTGGAACCTTTTATTTTATTGTCATAAAATATTACAAATATTAGAGTGAAGTGGTACAATTCTGAATAAAATAAGATTTGAGCCCAAATTCAAGGTTCAAGTTTGGTAACCTTATTTTCGTGGTATGAAAGGGACTAAAGTGAAAGCATGAAACCAAACTTAAATCTCAAAAATTGGATCAAATCTTATTTCGTTCGGAATTATATTATACTAAAAAAATTTTGTATCATTTTATTCTAAATCAAATAATATTATATTTATTACATAATATATTCTTATAATTTTTAAAAGTCTATTTCTCCACATATCTACATTTTAAATTTCACTGTACGAGTTAAAATTACATAAACAGATCTAAAGGTTTTATAAAAATAAAATTCGTGATTAAGATCGACAACTCAAGTGACATTGTTGATTACGATAATGTCTCAGATAAAAGACCGTTTAAAAACCGGCAATACAGGTTCATTATCATGACGAGGCGTTCTTTTTTGCGCGTATCATTCTATCGCTGTATTATTTCTGCACGAAATTTATGTCTACCGTAAACGCGAAGATTAAACGGCATCGTACGTTAATCGTATCAAGAATATACGACGGCAAGCGATGCAACTCTGCAAACTCACCTTGTATGGATTCCGGCGAGGTTGGCTCCTTATCGATTCGGCCGAGCGCGTCGCTACCTGAAACAAAAAGCGCAACCAGACCCTCGTTAGTATAGCCATACTATAAGCTGATCGGGAAAATCATTCGTTTTCCGTAAGAGATACATGCGTGAGTACTTTTTGCTTCGATCGAATCGGTAAGCATTGTAGTTTGATTTTAATTACATTAAGGTTACTTATATCGTACTCTTTTATGAATAACAGCACGCATCGGTGAAAAAACAATGACGAAGAGAGACATTGATTTATATTTGAAGTCCTGTCGTCTTCATTAAGTTTATTAAAATTATAAAAGAATAGAACGAAAAATATAAATATAATATAAGAAATAATCTTGGTTACTATCATATACATTTAAATAATATATTTTTTGTGGCATTCGTTGTGTTTCAATAAAATTAATAAGATTGAACTTCAAATAAAGTTAATATCTAAATTATGTAAATGTTAAACTATTTTTTATGTTAAATTATGTTTGATAATTATTAAATAATACGATTAGTTGCATTTAGATTTTTTAATATGACTGAACTCACTTATTAATTCCTTAATAAAATCAATAAATGTATAAACAATAAAAATTATACATAAATGTATAAAATAAATAATTACATTAAAACATTTTACAGCAGGTGCAAAACTGCTTTTTCTGCTAAAGGCAGTCATTGTTTCTCAATATTCCTCAATGTCTGACAAACGTGTTATATCACATACGCAGTTTTATTTTATTCGATGGACACTCACATCTGTCTTGATTAAAACCGGGCGATCAAGAGAATAGGATGGCGCAGATAGTATCAGAGTACATCGCGTTTATCAATCAGGCTACGGACCGAATTATGCTAAAACACGAGCAATCATGACGCATAGTGGTGATCGCGCGCCATACCAATCGCAATTTCTCGAAAATAGGGCGACTCGCCGTTATCTGCCGTAAATGCAATCGATCGATATTCAAATAATCTATTTGACAGACCCTTTTCCAAAGAGGACGAGAAAGGGAAGATGGTGGTAATTCGGCGCGAGGATGACCATCGTACGTCACACAGCGAGAGAGACGAGTTCGTGGGGGTCCAGCAGACCCCAGGGGTGACCACCTACTACCCCCTAGGGGGTCGCAACTCACCCCTGAAACGACTGTATTCAGATAATCCCACCTTTCCTTTTCTCCGTCTTATTTGCCCGCAACGACGACATTTCAATACATGCTCTCACCGGATAACCCGCCACAAATATGGGCGGATATACGCGACTACTACGTGGAAAATAGTAACGGGAGTAACGACTACATACGGTAGTAGACGTAGAAATAAAAGGGATGGGAAAGATTTCACAATTCTGACTCTCGCATTTCGTACATATTGTCGTACATATTGGAAGATCAGTGAATTATTCATATAATATTTAATATTGATTAGTATATAATATGCATTTATTATACACAGTTTTTTCTACGTCCTTAATTTAAGATGTGTGCATTAATGTTACAGTTAAAAAATATTTCATATGCTCCGTTTTAAATTATGTTTATATATTTCATCAATATGTGCTTGATCGGTAATCTATAATATGTCTTATTTAAGTTATCCAGGTTACTATAAAATTAAACAATGCTCCTTAACGAGACCGTTTTCATTATCGAGCGAAGAACTGCTCCTAGAAATTAGTACGCGTTTACATTAAATATAAAGAGCGGCCTTATAAGCCAAAGCTTGAGCTCTTCTCTCTCATGCACGCGTGTAATAATGCTTGAGGCAATCTTTCTTATAGTTTTGTAGAAAAAAAGAAATCGTGAGGGAAGATGCGATGCATAATTCATCAGTAGCGGGGAACGATCGATTGTTCGACCGATATTAGAGAACATCGATGACAAGATTCTTTTTCATGAGCGACAATGTGCGTTTAATTCTATTCATCGTAGTTATATGCGCATTAAATTTCAATATCTTTTTAGCGCATAAAAATCTAAAAAAATGTCCATAGATTTCTCAATATTTTAATGTTTATCAAGACAGTCTTTTCGCGTTCGCGTATACGGAAAGAACAGTTTTGCTGAAGTGTTAAAAAATTTAGTTAGATATGAATCCGAAAATATATAAGTATAATTTCGTTAGACCATCAAAATAGTTATGTAAGAAACACAAACTGCGTAATTACTATAATGGCAAAACTTTTTGCAGCATTGTTTTCCATGCTTGAACTATTACGTAATTATTTCGATGGTCAAACAGAATTATTTTCAGATCTGTATCTAGCTAAATGTTCATATCCTTCTACAAAATCATTCTTTCCGTGTAACTCTTTTATACAGAAGCCTCGCAAAATTCTTGTTTAACGGTAGACATCAGCGAGCGCGACGATTTATCAAAATGAAATACCGGCTGTCGAAAGGACGCCCACCCATTCCTTTAAATAGGAATGAACGTGGATAAATACGATGCACCTTCGTCGTTCGACGACTCTCCGGAGGGCCGTAAAGAAGTTACGGTTTGCACATGCACTTTTTGCCCCGTTGCACATATCACGCAAACAACTATAACTCCACTGTCGCTTTCTCTTTCCTCCTCTGTTTTCTGTCATGTCGTAAGATAAAAATTACGCGTTCATATTATTTATTAATCAGCGATAATTTTACGTTGTAGAGTCAGTCTCCGCGAAATCTCCATGAAACGTTGAGAGGTAACTGGTAAATTTCGGCTTCAATGTAGCAATCTTTCATACAACACTAGAAATATAAAGAAATATAGTAAAGTGCAGCGCATTATTCTAACACTAAGAAAAAAGTTCTACAATAATTAAACCAATAAAAGAGTTCAATAAGAATAGTATTTTAACGAGCTCAAGTTATCATAACCAAAAATTTTATTTGATCTCACTAAAATGTTTTTATTCGGTACTGTTGTTAGCTTAATCAGAACATTTTTTTTCAATACATATTTTAATCAACATTAACGCTCTCATGTTTCACCTTTCGCATAATTCTGAAGTTCTTATTATTAATTTTGCTGCATCCTTACACATAACTTAAAAAATTTGTTCTAAAACACTATTTAAAAAATTGTTCTCTTTTATTCTTGGTTCGAAGTAATCAATTCAGTGTATTTGCGTCGTCAGCCGAGATTTTCAGACATAAATTCTGAAGTACGTCACGGCGTTGTCGGAGCTCAGTTTTTCACTTATTAATTCGACACGTCCGCGCCAGCCGGAATCGCGTGTTTGCGGCTACCGTCCCGGATACATCTCGGTATTCATAAAGGGCAGGCTTACATACCTTCCTGTATGAAGCGCACACCCATCAACAGCCCCCATTTAACGTATATGTACACGTGACACCTGTGCCGATAACTGAATACCGCGGACAGGTGCTCTCGTCAAACACTCGACATACGACCACGAAGACGGAAGCGTGTCGAGACTGCTATTATCTCGCGATTACGATCTCGTTTCGCTAAAGGCCGGTTATCGATTGTATGAATCGATCTCTTCCTTTGCCTTTCTCACTATCAGTCAGACCGCGTATATTTTAATGAACAATGAGCAATGATTCATGCAAGAATGAAAACCCAGGCTTTACTTATTAATAAAAATTCAGGCGCAACTATTGAAATAAAATTTGGGATTTGGGAAAATTGTACGTAGATTGAAAATAATTTTGAAACTTTCACATCATTTCGATAAAATTTCGCAGAAGTTGGATAATTCGTCGATATAAAATTCCGAGATGTCTTCGGTTAATCGATTAATTCATAAAATTCGATCAATCCTATACACGTCCATATAGGTATACGTGCCGTGGACGGAAACGAGATTTTAATATTTAAGCTCGATAGCACGATACAATAAGTATAATAAGCATAGAAGCGATCGCCAGCAGGCGGTTGCAAGAGACGGTTGCAATATTAATGCTGACATTTCGGTGCTTTGCGGTAGTTTAACCACACTCCAACCCCTCGCTTTAATGGATGCGGCTTTCCGACAGGGACGCTATGCCACGACTACGCCAATCTCGTCACGTATGGCCATATATTGCAACCGATATATCGATCTTTAAAATAAAACGGAATAAGAGCCTTATAAGAATCTTAAAAGAATTTATAGAAAATAATCTATTTCAATTAAGCAACTGTATACACTTGATTAAAAAATTATTTACCTAATTTGAGGTTTAAAGTTCAAAGTATTCCATGTATGCATTAAGTATTCATGTAATAGTAGTAACAATGCGTTATTAACATTTTTTATCAATGTTGTAATGTTTATATTATATATAACATTCTTATAAAAAAAAGACTTCATGAATTGAAATTTTTAATATAAGTATATTATAAAAATTTCAAATCATGTTACACTCTACTTTATATTAAGTGCTCGTAGATCCATAAATGATATTTTTAATGATATTTGATAATATAAGATTTTTAATATTTTAATATGTTATACAGTAAATAGTAATGCAATAATGATGATTCATACTATGATGTAACAAAATTTTTTTCTTTATGATTCATATCGTAGCATATTTATTGCCCAAACAAATTAAAATCTAAATTTTTTTCTACATGGTATATGTACATAAATATATAATTTGTATGTAATATCCATGTACAAAATAAAAATAATTCATATCAATATAAAATTCTGTCATTATAATCAAACTGTACTGAAAGAAAAAATTATGCAGGATGTACAAAAAGTCTCGGACTTCTTAAATGTCTTGAAAAGTAAGCATTTCTAAAAGAAATATGTTTTTCATACAAGAGTTTTAGGGTTGAAAATAATTTATTTACTGACCTTATCAATTTGAACTTGGATGGCGCCACCCAAGTCAAGTCAAGGTCAAATTGATTTTTTAAAACGAAACACCCTATTTTTAACAGCGTTTAAAGGCTTAGAATACTTGCACGGAATGCAAATAATCCGGGTTCGACTTCCGGCCGAGGTAATATTTTTCTCAATAAAAATTAATTATTTACAAATAACGTTTACAGGATTTCTGTGAACCTCTACATGATAAACCT